TCATTCATATCTCACGGGTAGATCTCAGTCAGTTGTGGATCCTGAAAATCATCCTTCTAGACAGATTGCTACAACATCGGGAGTACCACAAGGATCTATTCTGGGACCGATTTTATTCCTAATTGTTATAAATGGAGTATCAAAATGTTTAAAGCACTCGAAATACGGATTATTTGCAGACGACAAATGTGCCTACCTGCATTTTAAAATTTTTAATTTGGAAGAAGCTGCTTTTCATATACAGTCTGATGCTCAGGCTGTTGCTGATTGGGCTCATGAAACTGGTCTTGAAATAAACTATACAAAGACTAAAGTTATGATCCTAGGAAGCAAACGTAAACTTAAACTATTAGAAACCTGTGAACTTCCACAAATCATCGTCGATGAACACATTATCCCTTACGTCTCTACAACTAAACATCTTGGTCTTCATTTTTCAAATGATCTCTCATGGGATATTCATGTGGCTCAGCTTTCACGTAAGGTCTATGCTACGATAAGCAGTTTAAAGCACAGGAAGAACATTTTATCCTCACCTATACGCAAAATGCTAATTACTGCCACTGTTCTACCAATCATTGACTATTGCTCTATTGTCTTACTGGATTGCTCGAAAAGGCTTGATAATAAACTGCAGCGTCTAATGAATAATGCTATTAGATTTATATATAACATCAAACGTGACGAACACATGACGCCGTATCGGCGATCATTAAACTGGTTGCATATGAAGTCGCGAAGATTGTACTTCTTAGCTTGTTATTTTTATAAGCTACTTGACTCAGGGCAGCCGAAATACCTAAGGGAGATGTTCATCGAAGAAGATTCAAGTATTAGACGGTCTGATAGAATAGCTGCAAAACAAAATAATGTCACCTTCAAAACACCAAATTATGTCACAACAAGCTATGAACATTCCTTTATTGTCTCAACTATTCGTTTGTGGAAAGACTTACCAACTGAAGTTGTAAATTCTCAGAGTCTAGAAATTTTTAAAAACAAAATGTTTGGCTATTTGCTAGAACTTGAACTTAAAGATCATTAATCTTTCATTATCTTTCTAAAATTTCTCTATAAATGCGTTGTTTATGATTAATCAAATTTAAAATTTATCAAACTGTTATGTATTACTTAAAATATCCTAGTTGTTAAATTGCTAAATTGTTTAATTAATCTAGTTATTGTATTTCAAATTATGTACAAATATTGTTGCTCTTTAAATTTCTTACGTGATACTATATGTAAATATATTACTATGGTATACAAAATTATTCTTTGTATAAAACTTGCCATTCGGCAATTGCCTTGGCATATTTTTCCAAATAAATAAATAAATAAATAAAAAATATCGTATCGTGCAGAGCAGAAAACTTTTTTTGTATTACTCATGCGGGAAAAGTAGTAGGGGAACCTAGGGGCACGAAGGCCCCCCTCAAAAATTAGGTAAAAATTTTTTTTTTCAATTTCCGTCAAGTTATGACTTCTATAATGTTTTTATGATATTTTGGGCCAATATGTAATATGTGGGGCATAATGGACCACTCGAAAAAAAATTGTAACGAAAAATAATTTTTTTTTTTAATTGTGATAAATTTGTGGTAAAATGAATTAGAAAAAATTTAATTGAACTGAAAAATTTTACAAAAAATTGAATCATGCATGCAGGAGAGAGTGGTACACGACGGTCCCCGGCATAACGGGCATAACGGCCCCTCTCATAGATTAGGCAAAATTTTTTTTTCCATTTTTCGTCAAGTTATGACCTCTATGAGGTTTTTATGATATTTCGGGCTAATATGTGATACGTGGGGCATAATGGATCATTCGAAAAAAAATGACAAATTTGAAGAATTCATTATTTTAGACCTTTTCAGGTCAATGAAACAGAATGAATTTAATTAAACTGAAAAAATTAATGAAAAGTTGAATTATATAGCTAATAAAAAATAATATAGCTTATAAAAAAATTGAAAACACAGTTCTTTAAAATTAAAACGGTAATAATTATATTATTAACTATTGATTACAGTATCCTCTGCACCAGACAGAAACCTAATCTCAAAAATTTATTTGAATTCCTCCAAGGATGTCTTACTTTACGCAATTCATATTTCTAATTTTGACTTAATAAAAATATAAAAAAAAAGGTCTGGTTCAAGATATTACGTATTTTGAAAGCTCTATTTGAAAACTCAACCTGTGATTTCAATGTAAACTAATGTAACCAATTCATTGCTCAATAACATTTCTATATTTTTTCTTGTACGTAGGTTTAAAGCCTCCGATTGCAATAAAAGAAATTAATTATATTTTTAATTATTATCTATTTAAAACTAATTAACAATAATAACAGCTTAACAATGAAATTTGTAATAAGTTTTTAAGACGTTAACAAAAATTAAACTTTGAATAAAACATGAAATATAAATGTTCGACGAGATTAGGAAATCACATCGAGATAATTTAATGAACATACGATTATTCGTAATGATCACAGACATATTCGTCAGAATAATCTTCGCCAATACCTGCGCAAGAACCATAAGATCATTTATTAAAATTTTTACATTGAATCCATGACTCTGAGGAAAGTCCATAGCAATAAAGACAATGGCAATAATCATTTTTATATTTTAAAGGTTTTTTTATCAAATTTTTTGGTTTTGATTTTGTTTCATTTTTTTCATCATAATAAGAGATATTCCGATCCTGACATTGAATTAAATTAATGTGTTGTAATCCGAGGATTAAGGATCATGAAATAAGTTAATAAGAGATTTTTATTTTACGCAACGTTTCGGAATTTATTACTCCTTCCTCAGGCGTCCGTGGAAACATACAAAATTTATACAATTAATCAACAGATTCGGTAGAATCTGGCGCCAAGTTCCGTTCTCAAGCCAGACTACCGAGTGTGTATATACCGTAAGCAGAACGGTTTTTTGAGGTTACAAATTTTTTTTCAAATTTAATTTGATTTTTTTTTTATATGATATTTTATAATAGTAGTTCATGCTTTTTATTACGCGTATTACTTGATTATTATCAATTATCTTTATAATTTCTATTTAAAATTATTAAAAATAATCAGCACAAACTATAGCGACCCAGATTTTTAGATTTTAACTTTTTTCTTATGTAAAAAGCAGACGGCCAGAGACTAAATAAT